TATAAAAATTTTTTTTTTTTTTTTTTTTTTTTTTTTCTACTTTTAATTATATACACTATTTTATTTTCGTAAACTTCTCATTATTTTCAATATAGTCTATTTTACTACATTTATATTATTTTTACTTAATATATATTCCTTCATTTTAATTAATAACAACTATTTAATTTATATTCCTTCTCTTATTTTAGTTTTTTATTTAATCTAATTAATTTATTCTATATTAATTTAAATGGATTTAATATATATATATATATATATTTTTTTTTTTTTTCTTTTATTTATTATATATATATTTTAGTGTGTTATTTCTGATAGGAATTTTCTAAAAAGATTACAAGATATTATGTAAATATATTTAGGCTTACTACAATACATATTTATATTTTATTTTTTTTTTTTTTTCATATTAAAATAAAAAAATTACTTGGAACTTTTTTATATAGTATCTAAAATTTTACCATATAAAAATATTTAAAATATTCTTTATTTAATATGTTAGAAACGTTATATATATATATATATAATTATTTTAATTACAAACACATGCAGTTATACATTCTTATTTTTTTGAATTTTTTTTTTTTTTTCCCATATTTTTTTTTAATGTCAGTTGTGTATTTTTATATAATTTAATAAATTTTTTTTTATTTTATATAATATTATATTTAAATAAAAAAATTAGAAAACTCATTTTTAATTTTTAATTTTATAAAAAAAAACTTATCATTTTTATATAAAAAAAAAGATATTTTACATATTTTTATTTTTAGTGTGCGTGTGTATAAAATTGAATCATTTTCAAAAATATAAAATATTCTAATATCGTTACTTAAAAAAAAAAAAAAAACTCATGTTCAAACAATAAAAAAAAAAAAATCTCTTTTTTTTGCATATTAAATATTAGCTATTTTTTTTTTTTTTTTTTTAATTTTAACCTATAATTCTTATATATTGTACTTATTTCCTTTTTTTTTTTTTTTTTTTATTAATACGTACATCTATTTTTTGTATTTTATTCTTTTTAATCTATGTGGCTACTTTTTATTTTATTATCATATATTTTTTTTATTTTAAATTTTACCTAATTTTTATTTTTAGAAATATTCACAGGGTAACATATTTGTTTTATGTGACCAACAATTTTCATATATATTTAAATAATGCATTCAGAAGTGATTTTCTAATTTTTTTTTTTATAAATTTTTAATGATGAATTTGTTTATTATCTTTATACATTTACATACAGAAGCTTTTTTTTTTTTTTTTTTTTTTTTTTTTGATTAATTTGCAAAAATAATTTAAACTTAAATATATAGAATTGCTTTTATTTCATTTATATATATATATATATATATATTTATATACATTTTTTCTTTTTTGATATATTTTTCTTTTTATCATATACCTTTCTAATTTAAAAATTATTACCATTAAATAAGGCTTTAAAAATAATTCATCTTTCCCAATTTATATATTTTTACTAAATTATTTTAATATTTTAGTCATAATATATGTTAGCTTACATATATTAATAATTTTATCTGTATATTAATTTTTCTTTTTTTTTTTATGTAAAAATTTATTATTTATATAATATCTATATATTCATATTAAATATATATGACTGACATGGCATGCATATTAATAGAATCACTTAAAAGTTTTTTATTTTTATTTTATTTTTTTTTCTTTTTTACATATGTATATATATATATATATATATATATATAATAATTATAAAACATAGCAAAAAATTAGTTATGTAAATACATAGATGTTAAATATTATATAGATTAAAAGAAAAGTAAAATATAACATTTTATTAAATATTTTAACTAATAGATAAACTATTAGAGTTTAAAAAAAAAAAAAATAAAATAAACGAATTATTTTTCCTTTTTTTTTTTTTTTTTTTTTTTAATTAATAATTTTTTTAAGAAAAAAATTAAATATAATGAAAGTATTTAAATACATATATTTAAGATAATAAATGTTTTTTTATATTTTAAATAAAAACTTTATTCATTTTATTTTTTGTGTTTGATTTCTTATCTAAAAATTTGCTACTAATCTATTAATTCTGTATTAATATTTCTAAAGAAAAGAAAAAGAAAAATAATAGAAAAAAAGAAAACAAAAAAAAAAAAAAAAAAATATATAAGGAAATATATTAATTTTTTTTTTTTTTTTTTTTTCTTTATTAATTTGTATATTAATAATATTCACTAATTTTATACTATTTATACATTTTTAATAATTTATATTTATTTAGACAATAATTTTTTTTTATTCTCATTTATATTAATAATTATAATATATATATATATGTTTATATTTTAGAGTGTTCTAAAATCTACATATGTAAATATTTTTTTTTACGTATTATTTTATAAGTGTAACTATATTAAACTTTTTCTAAAATCTAATTAAATTTATTATATATATTTATATATATATATATATATATATTTTTTTTTTTTTAATTTGTTAATTTAATTAGTTAAAATACGAATTTATTTTTATTAATCATAATTAAAAATTTAAATATGTTTATATATATGTATATATAAACATATTGAAATGTGATAAAATTTAAGAATAAAAAAAAAAAAAAAAAAATATAGAAAGTAGTACATATTTTTGTATATTTATTATTTTAATATAATAATATTATATATATAGAAAATATTTTTTTATGATATTATCTGAGTAATATTTTAAATATAATTAAATCTAAAATTGAAAAATACATAAATATACTATAAATTTTTTAGAATAAAAAAAGTGAAAAATAAAAAATATATATATATATATCAAGAAAATGAAATAGATGTGAATTAAAATGTCATAATGAATATATATATAAAATGAATAAAAATGAGAAATAACATAATTATATAATTATATGTGGCACTAAAATGAATTTTTATAATTAAAGTAGTAAAAAATAGAAAGATTTTTATTTTTTTTTTTTTTA